AAAGAGTGAATTTTACAACATATTATCTATACCGTCCATTTTCAAGATTTTCATATGTTTATAGATCTACTTGATTTGGCCATTTTTTTAAATTTAAAATTTTATAATTAGATATAAAAATAGATTTTGAGATAATCCTAAGAATATTTTACATCAAAATTATATACCATGATAAAAGTTGAAGGTGCACCTTACATCTACACCTACGGATGCGTCCGTATGCAAACTGCACCCTTAGCATATTGTTTGAGACCCAAATGGAGGAGTTCAAAAAATGTCAATGAGCCCATTAATGAGGGTCTTTTTAACTCCTAAATGAGGGAAGGTAGTTTTGACTATTGATGTGAAATTGGGTGGTTGTATTTATTTTATTGTCTGATCTCAAAGTTCAAAAGAAATTTTTTCAAACTTTGTGACACACCCAAGCTATCAGGTTTCACATTGGATGGTTATAAGTAAGAGTAATGATCCTATAGGACCCTTCCCCACCCATGTATGTAGGGCCCCAAAGGATCACCATTAAAATTGACATGGATCTCTAAAAAAGTTATCACATGAGTATAGGACTTGACTTTTCTATAGATCCGTGTCAAATTTAATGGTGAACCCTTGGGTTCCTACACACATGGGTAGAGGAGGATCCTATATGATCATTTCTCTACAAATAATTGTGACCTCCTTGTACCAAAGATAAATAGTCTCATTAGATACAATCCCTTACTCAACCAAAATGACTATGTTAATACAAAAATGGATATAAATACCCCATCCTGTATTTAATCAATTTTTTGTGTAATTCCGGCTATAGAAAAGGAAAACGTTAAAATAAGGCTTAGATTTTTTGGAAAAAGTAAAACCTCTCCTCAAAACTCACTAAATATTATAGTATCAGAAACCTTCAAATCAATCATCTCGACCTTGATCATTATTGTGGTTGTAAAAAAATTAGGATTTTCGGCCTTAAAAATAGTGTACAATATAATATGAACAATTGTTTCATGCGGGTTGGACCACATTTGTACAATATGTGGTCATCCATCTTAAAGATGGATGCAAATAGGTAGTCCATCTAAAAACAATTGTAACTAACGGTCCAAATTTTTCTTGATATAATTATTATTTCTAGTTTTCAAAATTTATTCATTTATGCATATTCATGATCTTATGTTAAAGATTATATATTCTATACAAATTAGGATCAAATTGTATTTAATATATATATTTATTGCAGAGCCCGCACTTGTACATGTGCGGGCTTGGCCACATGCTAACCATGTCCTTATAACATGTTATCTAAATTGTCTATTTCATGTGTTCATGGATCTACAAGATCAGTACCAGTTTTTGAGCTATAAATTTTCATAATCAATTACATAAATAGATTTTGAAGCCATCTTAGGGATCTCTCATGGAAAAGATTACTATGCTTCCCCTACAGCATAGAAGTTCTATCCTCTCCCTACCATCCAGCCGCCCAATTTTGACCAAGAGAGCCACTCACCGTTTGATCTTAGATTCGACGTCTCCAAATATTTTATTTTTAGTTTTTTGTATACAAATTGTATGAATATGAAATTTGGTATGTATCATCTTCTCATTGGGTCGCACCTATAAAAAATATTTAAAATAATTTTTCGATAAAATATAATAACAAAAATACCTTTTGAAGATTTCAGGGGTATTTTGGTCATTTTATTTTATTGAAAAGATTTTTTTTTTATTTTTTTCTAGTGCGAGTTTAATAGAGGAATGGACATCCAAAATTTGGTGTCAAAATAGTTTATAGAAAAAAAATTAAAAATAAAATAATGTAGAGATGTGACATTGTGATTGGGACAATCTTAACCATCCATTCAGAATGAAAGGTTGGATAAAAGAGAAGATAGAACTTTTATGTTGTAGAGGAAGCATAAAAAGCTTGCCCATCTCTCATACCCCAATTGTTTTCGGGGTAAGATTTTGAAGTGAGGCCTTTACTCTTTTTTTTTTCAGCTGGCTGCATCCATAGAAAATCAAGAAAAAGAAGAAATACTGTGACCTATTTTATGGTTTCTTCTTTTGATTTGAGGGGAGCGTTTGGACGTGTCATACCATGGTTAAGGGGTTCCCATAGAGTATGTAATCCTTGATCCATTCACCACATCCTCATGTACTTCCCAATGTATTCTAATACCTAAGACAGGCGCGTTCCACTTGGCGCGTTCCAAGTGGATATTATAGGTGAAGGATGGATATTTTCATCATCATCGTTACCTTTTTTTAATTATTGGAAGTCGTTAAGAATGGGTATTTTAATATTTTAATAAAATTATCGACTATCTAAAGTACAACGCAAAATCAACACTGTCTAAATTAAATTAGACATTTTATGTCATTTTAATCTAAACATTTCCAAATCTCACTTAGAAGCCTCTAAAGAAAGTCATAGCTTCTAGGCTGCTAGAGTTTTCCAGGTGTCTACTGTCTATGACTTGCACGTGTGAAGATGAGGAGAAGCCGTGGTTAGGTTGAGAGAAGTAAAATTTCATGTGATGCTCACATGTTAAGGGGTAAAAAGGTTGTGTAGCTTTCTCGTGACCAAAGGTATATATCGATGAGCAAGGCGACCTTCAATTTTCACATAAAGAGGAGAAAACGATACATCATGAACTGGATCACTAACGATTACATGGAAACATCATCTTCGTTTCCTTTCAATTGAAAAAAAATAAAAATGATTTGACTGACTTCGTTTTTTTTTCTTTCTTTTTATTTCTTTTCTTTTTTTTTTACAATGTTCGGAACTTGTTTTAATCAATCAGAGAGTTACAGTATTCAGATCATAACAACACAGTTACATAATCAAAAATCACCAATTCGGAGAGATATGCATTCTTTTTTACAAGCGCATCCGCCAGGTCATTTGTTTCCTTGTAGATATGATACAATGAAACTCGCAACAAGACAACTGAGTCCATAATTTGTAGCCAACACTACTCCCTTCTTGTTTCTTGTTTGGCTTTCATGCATGCATGGATGGTAAAGGGCCAATATGAAGGCCACCCACCCTGCGAGAATCTTTGCCCTAATGTGTAGCTTTTTTTTTTTTTGGCAGTCGAGAAATAAGAATTGAACTTGAGATGTAGTGTTGCCAAGGTCAACTGCTACCCAGCAAGATTCCTCCCTAATATGCACATATTGCGCTCATATAACCCCACAAATTTGAGTAGTGTAACCACTAACTTGCAGCTACTGATTAATCTTTTATTTGGAAAAAGCTTTGCCGCTGATGCATGCAACCGCAGCCCCTTAACTCCATCTTGGGAGATGGATTGAGGATCTAATGCCTCATGATGACTTACAGGACCATTTTTGCCCCCAAACCCTGAATTTGGAGCTCCAAAATGGCACAGATATGATAAATCTAAATCTAGAAAAACTTGAAGTAGACTGTTTAGCAATTAGATTCAAATAGTTCTAAGGTGTCGATCCATCTCCAACTTAAAAGTTTGAAGGTACCACTGCATGCAAATGTAATTACAAGGAAACGTTACCCAATTATTTTGAAAAAGCAGTTCATGAAACATTTGAATGAGTTACTGTTCAAATGCAGGCCCTTCCCAAAAATTCATATGCATTTGGGCCTTAGATCCAAGTTTTTGCTGCTCAAAAAATAGCACAGATACGATCTGCAAATAAAAATGAAGATGATAAATATTCAAAAAGAGAGTTTAAAATGGTCTTCTTTTAGGCACAAAATCCAATTTTTCCTAAATTCACATTAGCCAAGATTATCGACCCATGAAATTTTAAAGTCCAAACTCCATCTCTAAAATGGATTTTTGATAGAGACCAACATTTGAATGGTAAAGTCCAAACTCCATCTCTAAGATGGATTTTTGAAAGAGACCATATTTGAATAGTAAAGTCCAAACTCCATCTCTAAGATGGATTTTTGAAAGAGACCACATTTGAATAGTAAAGTCCAAACTCCATCTCTAAGATGGATTTTTGAAAGAGACCACATTTGAATTGGTGCACTGGCTCACACACCAATGCCCTTTGTCCATACGAAATTTCTTTCTTTCCCACAACAGCATTCCTTTCATATTCCGCCCCCTTATCATCATCTTCGTCATTAAAGCCTTTTTTTCCAACTAATTGGGTAGAAGGAAAAAGGAAAACTAGTTTCCCGTCCTTTCTATCTCTAAATGAAGAAAGAATAATCAATTGTCCAGTTCTCTCAACTTTGAAAATGAGAAATACAATGTGAGTGTTGCTCTTTGCCCGACTCCAATAATGAATGTGGCGGGTGTCATTCCTAGCCAGATTTGAAGCGATTAAGGCACCACAAACTGTGTATTCCCCTTGTTACATTGCTAAGATGTTATTATTGCAATAAAACACTATTACCTAGCAATACAGTAATGATACAGAAGCTTAATAAAGCTAAGGGGGACCATTAACAATGCTCTCTCCTATTAAAAACAACAATAGGGAGGCACATTCATGACCCTTCAATATTTGACTGTAACAGCCTGTTTCACCTGTTTCTCCAACAAAACGAAACAAAGATAGAGAAGAAAACCGAAGGTAATGAAAGATCTACAAAAATGGACGCAAAGAACCAATTTCAGGCCCCTCAATTTCAGTAAAACCTGCTTCTTCTTCTTCCTCTTGCAGGAGTCACAGAGGAATGCCTGCCTCTTTCTGCAGCAGGGTTCAGATGGCCCTCCTCCTCATCATCACTAGTTTCATCTAACCTCCATCTCAACCCACTATTCATAATTGTATCTCCAAAGCTAGTCTCTCTCTTGCCGTGAATACTTCAAAGCACAAAAAATTATTGAAATCAAAATTTCATTATGGAGACAGAGAAAGAGAGAGAGAGAGAGAGAGCCAAACACCAGTAATAACTAAGGCAGGAAAACTAAAGGGAAAAAAAACGTACACCCTCCCGCTCTCAAATCATAATTCCAAATAACCCGTAGGACCATGGCAAGCGCATGACCCCCTCCAACCTATAAACAAAAAAGACGTTTACCATGCTCTATACTTTTATAATTATCCAAATTACAATCTATTTATCCTTTTTATTTTTCTAATGACTCCATCAACACCTTAGAAAGGCTCCCCCTTTTCCCTCTCTTTCTCACCCATGAACCTCTACCTATCACTTTCTCTCTCTCAACCTCCCTTGAACCCTCAAATCTCTCTGATCTCATGAAACTCACAAATATGCTAAAAGGCATTTCAAATTCCATTTATATCGGGTTATTAGAAAAAAGAAAACGGGTAAATATTGTAATTTGGACAGTAAAAAAAAAAGGAGGGGGTTAAACATCTTTTTCTTTTAACTGGAAGGGGGCCTATGCGCTTTTCACAGGCCCAAGGTGGGGTTGGGGTTGGGGTTGGGGTTGGGGTTGGGGTTGGGGTTGGGGGTTGGGGGGTATTTGGGATTATGGCTTCAAATAGCGGGGTATACATCTTTTTCCTTAAAGTAAAACCCCAGAAATGAGGACAGCTATCTTACCTCTCAATGGAATTGGCCTCTTCAACAGGACCCACTGTCAACCGTGATCTGTCTGATGGAACACGCTTCCCGGTGAAGTTCAAAACAGGTTCTCGAGTCCCACTTCTGATCGAATCGTAACCATTCATTTTGTTTGCCAGATTATCTCGGGGAAGGACCCCATTCTCCATAGAATCATCTTCAACTGAAGGCATGGGGGATGAATCCTCCACTTGATTCCCAGACCCATTTGCATTTTCTCCATGAAATCGAGTTTCTAGAATGCTCTGCATGGTTCTAGAAGCACTTTTCTCGGTGTCTTTTTGAGGGGTAAGTTCAAACCCACCAAGATTACGACCTCCTGGAGTCTCTTTCAATGAAAAACTATGCCTCGCACCCAGGCCAGATCCTTGTATTCTAGATGTGATGGGAGTCAAAAGCATATCAGTTTTGTCTCCAGGAATAGGTGGTATATTCTTGGCTGGTGTATCAAATTTGTTCAAAAAAGATGGGTTTCTTAGAGAGGCTAATGATCTCCCATGGAGTATAGAGGGAGGACGATAATCGCTCCAATCAAAGTTGAAGCCTGTATTTAATTCATCAGTCTTAGCGAAAGTTTTAGAGGCCAAGGCCCCCTTGGAGGAAAATGGTGTGCAATCTGGAGAAAGAATAAGGGAAGAAGCGATGGATGCAGAAACAGGTAATGTGATGTGTTTTGGTGGCTGCATAGCTGTCATCTTGGCTTTCACATATGGTTCAACATCCTTAATAGGGAGAAGAAAAAGGTCAGGCATGTTTCCACTCTTTACCAGTTGGCGCTGTGACTCAGGTAGCAAATCAATGGACTTATCCTGTTATGGATTGACAAAATGTGAAAAGAGATCAGCACATACTTTTCGCTTGAATATTATCCATCTGTCCATCAATGTCCGCATTGTGTGTTTGTGTGCACTAGCCCAATTGCTGAAATCAAGGCATAAGAGTTACTTACAACAAGTCCTGATCTCCATTCCTTCATAGATTGCATCTTAGACACAAGTTCCCCATCAGTGCTCCTCGAAATAATGCTCTGCTCCAAACTCTGAAGCTTACGATGAACTTGATATGCTTCTATATAACGATAACGCTGAAATGTAATAAAAGAAAATCACGATTCAAAGATATAGCTTGACACATTTTGTAATTTCTGAAATGTATAAGAAAGATGCTTCTAAAACTAAACAAGAATGTAGAACCACAGATCCCCACAAATCCAAGGAATGAAGATACTCCAACGAGCACCAGCACGCTACACTGCCAGCTATTACCTGCATACATCTAATTCGTACATCTACAGACAATTTTGCGCACCATTCCAGAAAATTATAGGTGACAATCTAGATTATCAATCACCTTTCTTCCCTCTCTAACGAATTTGCAGGAATCAAGAAGTTGCCATAATGAAAATATAGACGCAATGCTCAGCTCACTAAATGATTACGACTATGATTACTACTTAATCCCTTTAGATTTAAGATACTGAGATACCAATGAATGATGATCACCAAACACAGTCCAAACATGCTATGGAGATGTGTCCAACTGCGTATTTCCATCTAGACCCTCCTAAAATGGCTTTTAAAATGCACCAATAGCACCCCCACAATGAAAACCTGGAAAATAAGAAACACTTTCCACAGTGTCACCATGCAAGGATGAGACAAAATTTCACAGTTTCATCGACACTCTCCCAACATCTTCAAGTAATTCCCCACCAGGTTTTGAACCCCATAATATCTAACTCATTTTGACCTTCTGATCAGAAACGCCCCATCAAAAACCTCAAATGTTCCCTCCAAAACACAATGGTTTTATCACAGAAGTGTTGAACATTGAGGATAAATCTAGATTGTGATATAGCTGAAAGTGATGATGTATTGACGCTCAATTATTGAACCATGCTTAGAGAGCCTAACCAAGTCCACAGAAAGCCTTGGCAAGCTTAAAATATGTAGAGGAAGAAAATACTAGCTTTCAAAGCCAAAGGCTGATGCACATAAGCCTGCTCCTTGAGATGAACACATAGAATGATGTTTTTGACATCTAATTAATGTACCAAGCAGTGGCAAGAGAGGAACAGTGTTAAATTGGGATTGAACAAATCAAAATGCTATCCAAAGCTAATCTGAGTACAATGAACAAACACACCTATAAATCATTTCTTGTTCCAATACAGCCAAAGATTCAAAGCAAAAGGCACATTTTCCCAGATAATCAACCAAATGCGTTTGTCAATAGTCGATAAGTATGCCGAGGACATTATAGCCAAACATTACAAGAGCATTTCTTTCCTTTTTTTTCTTTTTCTTTTAAATGTTAAATTGGAACCTGGCAGGAATGGAACTCTAGACATCACGATGTGGCACTCACCATCCTGGCCACCTCTGCCTAGAGCCCATTGCCACATGCAACTGCATTTCTATAAGTCAAATTTGAACCACAGAGCTTTCTGCCTTCCAGACCAAATTTGCTAACAGGATGAGACATACTGATAAAACTTGCCAGAAAAACAAATCATTTCCAATGTGATTCAAATATTTCAGTTACAAAGAAGCAATGTATCTCATCCTTGAGAAGACACTACAATAAAGAAAAAGCAAAAAAAACATTCAACAATACCAAATAACAGATACAAGATGTTACCTGGAGATAGAACACAACCAGAAAGCTGCCGAGAGGGGTTGAAAGGTCTTGAAGAGCACTGTCAAATAGATATTTATGGAGAAATTTTTCTTCCTCGTGATTCCATGGCAACTCAATCATTCTATCCAATAAATTTCTCCGAATACAGAGGCAACAAATTTCAGTTACCAGAACCTCCATCTGATTCAACCAATCGTTGTATCCACCATCTTGATTGAGTGAAAGTGAAACATTTGATGCAGGTGTTTCAGTTAACTTATGTTCTTTTACTCGTGAGCAATGAGCTCTCTGGTACATATAAGCTTCAGTCAGTAGTCCACATTCAATTCTCACCCGAACAGATGTTACACCCTCCCTGAGCGAAACCAAATTTGTTGCTTCATGCCCCAAAGTTGCATATGAGTACAGATTGTCATGACCAGAGTACCTTAGAAACATCAAGGCGGCATCTGGATTTTGCCTTTCTAGTAAAACTTGAGCGATCTTTGGATGTGCTGTAGGACCAGCAATTTCAGGAAGAAGACGGCAAGCCTCCTAGAAGAAATATAAGAAAAATATGATCAGTATTATCAGCATAATATAAGTGTTTTGCAATCTGGACATATAAAAGCACAACCTGTTTATCCAGAAGACTAATTTTTACATTGTTTATTTCTAACCTAGCAATAAGAAGGTATTTTTTATACACGTATGTAATTAACTTTCTTTCCTCCAGGATGCCCTCTTGACCTCCATATGAGCACCTTGTTTTCCACTTTTTCTTTTATCTTATGCAGCCTCCACTTTCTTTGTCAATAAAATCAACCTTCCAAAGGAACGCACTGAGAAGGCAAGACAGTTCCAAGAAACACAGAAGTGAAAAGAAAAAGCAATATAAGATTATTTATATAAGATTATTTGTTGTCTACCATTAAAAAGAAAATCAGAAACTGAGTCTCTTACCATTAAATTCATTGATTCTTAAGTGGACACTAACAAACATAACTAAATCAGGAAGTATGAGATTAGTTGTAAACATGATGCTGGAGAAAACAAGAGAAAGCTATTCTATTTCTAGAGAATGAAACAGAACTTAACTTCTTGAATGAACTCAAAATCCAAATCACAATGATGAAACAGTGACCAGTTTAATGTAACATAAAAAATGCAATTTCACAATTTAGAAGTCCCTAAGCAGTTATAAACTGCTACTTGAGACAACTATGGCTTCACTAATGGTCCGCTGTGGAGCCTAACAATATAGGAATATTATTGGAGATTTAGTTCCTTATTGCAACTATTAAATAACTACACCTGGAGCGCAAATTGCCCAAAAAAAGGGATACTTACACAGAAGCTCAAATTTGATGGTTACATAACCAGTACGTCGCCAATGTTGGAAACCAAAGATTAAACATTTTAGTTCATAAAGAACTAGCTACAATGGCCAAGTGATACTCCCCACAGATTCTATACTTCTGTGCTGTGGGATTATTTAAAGTGGTAGGATTCCATAGATACCTCTACGGTAAGTTACTCTAGTGTATAACTAAGTTGAAAATGCATAGAGATATCATAGGAAATTTACAACGTCACAAGCAATAATAGCAGTAAAGGGATTATGAAAAAATTTTAAAGTGAATACTATAGAAATATTTGGACAGATATCTTAGTTAAAATATAAAAATTATCAATGCTAATCTTACATAAAACCATAAACCATTGTGAACATATTGTATTTCACTACCTATTGTGTTGATCTTTGAGACTTCATGTTACAAGCAATAAAATAATTGTTCTCCAACTGCCAACTATTTTTACCAATATAGTCGATAATAAAGGGCATTAAGCAAAGAAAACCATAGAGATAATAAACTTCACAGAGGTACCAACTCTTATGAACAAGGACCACAACAAGATACTAAAACTTAGTTACAAGATTCCTAGACCAGAAGAAATTAGAACTTTAGTTATGAAACCTACCAAGGGGGTTAAGTAGGTGTGGTTCGGGTTTCTAGGGCTTAACTATAGTTTGAGGTGTTGGTTAGGGTTTCTAGCTAGGCTTTGGGTAGGTATAGGATTTTCTCTCACCAAAAGTTTCTTTCTTCTCAAAAGAATTGCTAGAGTTTCTTTCTCAAGGCATGCAAGGAAAAAAAATCCTCCTAGTGAGGTGGGTTGGGGGTTTATATAGACACCCCCCAATACATAGATGAATAATCAGTAGTTATTTGGGTTGGGATTTAAAAGAAATTAAGAAAGGAAAATTCGGGTAAGGTAAAAAATGACAAAATTGGACATCACCAATGTCCCAAAAGACACTTAGGTCCGCAAAAATGCGGCCTCTTCCCATGCACATGGTATGGGGGGGAACGGATGATCTTCCACTGGGAAAATGTAAATGTACTTTGTAACTAATATCCATCAATATAAGGTCAATAAATTTGCTCAATCATATTCTTTATAGAGATGTAAAATCATAAATGTTAATGTGCTGAAATGGCTTCAATTTTCTTTTCTTTATCTTATATTTTTTAAAAAAAAATGTCTGAAATTGGATCTAGATTTTCTAATTTGAAATCAATTTGGGTCATGCCCCCCCTTTCTCAATTATCGTTGAATTTTATTTCAAGCCAGTAGACCAATATATATGAGAGAAGATGATGGGCTATGATCCACTTGATCCATGATCAAGCATGGGGCCAACACCTCCTTATCTAATATGAATTTTTCTTTACAATGTCCCTAAGACTTACCCATGCTCCTCATAGAAGGCTTGCACCTCCATATGTATCACCTAAAGGGGTCACCAATGCCTATGTAATAACGACATGCGTGTCACATCTGTTTAGGAGAATCTGACATACCAATGCACTGGATGCACATGTCGAGACAGAATACATGACTACAAACATAAGATATTTCCATTTTTTTGGGCTCACAAACATGACGTCTATTATGTGGACAAGCAAGTTTACAAATTGGACAAACAAGACACGCATGTCCATTTTGTATAAGACACATGCCCAATTGTAAGACACATATGTGTGCATTGTAAGACAGGTGTGTCCATATTGTAAGATGCATGAATGCATGGGTCATTAGGAAGCCGATGATTTAGTTTTTAAGTTCCTTATTATTAAAAGTCACAAATCATTTGAATATATAGCTAATATATATATATATATATATATATATATATATATATATATGTGTAGTGTGTGTGTGTGTGTAGTGTGTGTGTGTGTGTGTGTGTGTGTGTGTGTAGTGTAGTG